GTACTCCAGAGAAAACGCTTGCGCCATGGAAAGATCAAACATCATTTATTTGTACCATACCTGTTATGAGGGATGGTGGAAGTGTCTTCTTTGATGGTTTAGAAACAATGAATAACCAAGTTAGTATCAGATTGCAAGCAAATCCAATTCTTACTAAACCTGAAGCTGATGTATACTGTTCTGTTCGAGATGTTGCACCACCTCAGATGTGGTTTACAAGGATAACTTACTGGACTTGGTGTCCAGAAGATGGTTTGAAATACCATGCAACAGGAACTCCGGCTAAATTGCTTCACCAGCAGATAATGTTTAATAAATTAAATTATTTATTTTTGTTTCTTAAGGAATTTTTTGAAAAGAAAATAAGAAAAAACCAGAATTTTCGAAAAAGTGACACCAACTATTAAAGTTATTTTATTACTAGATTTATTTACAAATTATAAGATAATATCATTAACCGAATATATTTTTAATATAAATAAAAAAACTTTTTTTATACAAAAAATTACAATCAATCGATAAATATTATAAAACATTTATTCCAAAAAGATTAAGTAATAGGTGGGATCCTGCATATAATATAATTTTATGTCATAAAGTTTACAAATTTTAGATGGACCACAGTGAGAATGTGAGTGGTTAATTTAAAGGTGGTCTGATAAAGATATCGAAGCTTACTCAACACAGCATGAAGCAGTTTCTAATACACAATCTTACTAGTGGTGTTTCGGTCGCCAGCGCTCTCATAGGGGTGCTGATTTCAAAAACCACTACTTCAAATTATTCAACAATACACAATGCAGCATGAAGCAGCTACTACTGCTGTATCTTACTGGTAGTTTTGGTCGTTGGCTCTTGCACAGTCTCTCAGATTTTCAAAACTTTTTTTTCAACACTATCTTGTTTCGCTCTCAGAAAGCTATCCTACAAAGGCATCGAAGCTTACTCAACACAGCATGAAGCAGTTTCTAATACACAATCTTACTAGTGGTGTTTCGGTCGCCAGCGCTCTCATAGGGGTGCTGATTTCAAAAACCACTACTTCAAATTATTCAACAATACACAATGCAGCATGAAGCAGCTACTACTGCTGTATCTTACTGGTACTGTTCTTCGCTTCTTACTATCAACTCTAAAACTAGTTTGATGTATTATTTATTCAATATTAACCTTAATTATTTACAATTCTCACTTTTTTCATTTTTTAAATGAATCAATCCGTTCCTGCACCCCTTGCTGATACAAAACAATATATTGATTTCATTCATTATCTTCAATATGGAGTTCAAGCAGAGATGCGTGCTAACTGCAATTATCGGAAAGATTCGCATTTGAATTCAGATGGAGTAACAATTATTAGACATTACTGTAGATGGGGAAGTTGTAGTGCTAACTTTACCTTTGAAATGAAATCTAATCAATACAGATTTGTAAATGGACATCATTTTCATAATCATGTTGGTGAACCACCGTCTTTTAAATATTCACCAAAGAGTATTTTTCTCAGACCTTATCTTCAACAGTATTTTATTAGTGGTGGTAAAGTTGCTGATGCAATTTCTTGTTCATATCAAGCTCTCAATATTCCTTTTATTAATAACTATGTTTTCTTTTCTTATGATGAAAATACTCTTCGGCAACTCAAAAGGAACTCACAGAAAAGATTTTGCAAATGCCGAAAGGCAGTAATCACTATGGAAACTTTCTTGATGTTGTTAACAAATATAAAAGCGAAAAAATAAACACTCCTTCAGCCAAAGATTTATTATATCATGAAATCGATGATGTAGATAATCCAGTTGATTTTCTCTTTGTATATGGAGATTGTCGTATCAAGGATTTGTTATATGAAGAGCCTAGGATGTACCATATCGACTCTACTTTCAAAATATTATTTGAAAAACTTGTTTTATATATCATTACTTGTAAGTTTGAAAAGACTCATGTCATTCCACTTTGTTATTTTATTGTAAAACAAGATAATGAAACTTCTATCTCAAAATGTTTGATCAAGTTTTTTGAATGGTTTGAAAGAACTCCATCCAACTTTATGTCAGATTGTGCCCTCCAAATCTTTAATTCAATACATAATACATTTCAAGAATGTAATATCTTTTGGTGTGCCCTCCATGTGATGAGGGCACTTCGTAAGAACTTATACAGAATTCCAGACGAAAATATCAGGGCCGATGTGGATAAATATATGAATATCCTCTGCTACACAATGCCTATGAATATGGAAAATGCTAATCAGTTATATGAAAAAATAATAAAATTGATTTTGCCTTATGATGATTTCAATAACTATTTCCAAAGACAATGGGCTAACATAAGGAACAATGGATTTCTGCATTCAAGGAAGATTCATTGACTCTTGTTAATAATATATCAGAGTGTTTGTTCAAAAATTTTAAATACTATGAATTTGGAAATGTGAAAAATTTAGCAATTGACAAGTTTTTTTTCTTTTATTAAATCGAGTCAAAGAAAATTACTTTCTCCGCATTCAACAAGATTTAATTTACATCAAATTGTCCTTCCACCAAGAAATTGTGAAATTCCCGAAATATCAAATTATGATAAACAAATGACAGAAATACAATCAAAAATACAACATCTTTCAAACTTATTGAAAAAAAGAGAGATGTATCTTTTACCTTTATTGAAAGAGTTGAATACATTGGTTACTTCATTTGAAACAATGACAAGTATAAGACAGAATGCAATCATCTTTTGGTCCAGTCATGGCGTTGAAGGTGATTTAATGACAGAAGTACTGGAGTATATTGATAAAATCTGCAGTGAAAATTCATTATACGAAGTTATTGATAATTGGAATTCAATTGTTAATGATATCAATTCACAAATTGGAATCGAAGATCAGTATGAAATTTAAAATATAAATAAATTTTAATTATATTATTTTTAATTTTTTTAAATAAATATACATATATAAATACATATATAAATACATACATATATACATATATAAATATATACATATATAAATATATACATATATAAATATATACATATATAAATATATACATATATAAATATATATATATATAATATATACATATATACATATATACATATATAAATATATACATATATAAATATATACATATATACATATATAAATATATACATATATAAATATATACATATATAAATATATACATATATAAATATATATATATATAAATATATACATATATACATATATACATATATAAATATATGCATATATAAATATATACATATATAAATATATACATATATACATATATTAATATATACATATATACATATATAAATATATACATATATAAATATATACATATATAAATATATACATATATAAATATATACATATATAAATATATATATATAAATATATACATATATAAATATATACATATATACATATATAAATATACATATATAAATATACATATATAAATATACATATATAAATATACATATATAAATATACATATATAAATATACATATATAAATATACATATATAAATATACATATATAAATATACATATATAAATATACATATATAAATGTACATATATAAATATACATATATAAATATACATATATAAATATACATATATAAATATACATATATAAATATACATAGATAAATATATTTATATATATAAATATATAAATAACAAAATACAATCAAAAAATAGTGTTTGGAAATTTAAGGTTAGGTGTCACTTTTCTAGTGTCACTTTTTTCGTAAATTCTACCACACTCCTCCGGCTAAATTGCTTCACCAGCAGATAATGTTTAATAAATTAAATTATTTATTTTTGTTTCTTAAGGAATTTTTTGAAAAGAAAATAATCATCATTTTTTTTCAGTTCTTTAATGGCACACGCGAAGATGTTGGCAGCCTTACAGAAGATGAAAGAGCAGGAACAGCGCGAGAAAGAGGAAGAACAGAGGAGAAATGAGCAAGAGCAATGGTGGAAAAAGGAAGAAGAACAAGATGAACAAGATCATGTGTTTTGCATGGAAAAGGGTCCACTTCACTTTTGACAAAAGTGACAAGTTTACATGATAAAATAAAGTTTATGTGTCAGATTTTGATATGGAATTTTGGCGTAGCACTAGGGTCTGCGAGGTACATAGATAGAATCAGTACCTCGCAGACTCTAATTCTCTATATGGCGTCGAGAAATTTTGGTGAAATGTCGTCGAATTTCACCAAAATTTTCTCGACTCCATAGGAAGAATTGGAGGGTGTGAGATACTATTACGTACAATACTACTCACACCCTCCAATTCCCAGCCAAAATGGCTAAAATTGCTCGCAATTGTTCACATTGCGAGCAATTTTTAGACATTTTCCTACTTATTCTTTGACCACTGGCCTGCCAATACAATATAGATGCATTCCAAACAATCAGTTCCTACATATCATTCTATAAGTTCTCATTTTATCTTTCCAATCAAAACCAATTTACATTCGTTTATATTTAGAATCGAAGTTCCCTCTATATCTAAATATTTCCTCTTACCCCGGTGCTTCAATACTTTTTGGATTTCGAGATAATGGACCTAAAAATTTAAGTTATTCACAAACCAAAGTCGTGATTTTCAAATCCATATGTTTCCTATCCTATTTTTTCCCTTAGAAAAAGCTTGACAGCTAATAATTTCTGCTCAAAACATATAATTTGCCAAAATTATTCTAATAATTATCTAATTTCAGCACATGAGCTCTCACATATACTATACTAATAAAAAGTATATAAAAAATATGAAAATTAATAAAAAATTAAATGTTTAGTCAAATGATAAATTATCAATTTTTTTCGAGATTTCATGATCTTTTTTCGATGATTGTATTAGGGTTAGGATCGAGATCCTTAGTCCACTTTGGTTCTCGATCCCAAGCTTGTTGAGGAGTTAATTTCTCACCAAATTTTTTTTCTAGGGCCGAGTGTTTCCAAACAGTATTGTATTCTGTAATTACTGAACGCCGGGGTTGGTTTTGAACAAAGTCTGCCAACTTCTTTCGATCTTACCATTCTCCTCCAGTGTATAAGGAGGAGTGGTGTTATGTTGGATCTGGAAGTCTTGGCAGACTTGTTCAAAGTCCTTCCCGACGAATTTGGTGCCATTGTCAGTGACAATGGTATGCGGAATTGTGGGAGCTTTGGATAATGCGTGACGAAATGAATGGGCTGTGTGCTTCATTTCTTTTGTGGGTAAAATATCGTAGTCGATAATAAAACGGCTACGATCATCAATAAACGCAATTAAATATAAAAAATTTCCTTCGTAATTTTTAACGTATTTGAGATCGGTGTGCCACATCTGATTTATATACTGTGCGACATACTCATTATCGTGTCTTTCTTTTTGCTTTCGATGAAAAGTAAATAAATATTGATCTTGAAAATTTTTATATACATCATGATAAGTAACATTTTTATCATCGATAAAATATGAATCTTTGATATGTTTGTATCCGACATCAAAACATGTTTTTGTCGTGACAATTTTTTCAATAATTTCTGGATTTTGAGGTTTTTTTGGTCTACCATGTGGTTTCAGTGGTAATTTAAGAACTGTAAAAATGGATTTTAATCTGGTTTTGCGAATATGTAATTCTTTTGCAATTGACTGAATAGAATTTTTTTGATTATATTTCTTCCTTATTACGTGAAGAATTTGATCTTCTTGGATACCAGGAAGTTGAAATAGATAAATATCTCTTGGATTTTCTAAGATATTTTCGATTTCATCCATTTTAATGTAAATTTCTCAATTTGAATTTTGAAATAGTTTACCTTCAGAAATTTGAATGGGAAATTTCATAACTTGTCTTATTAATTTTCATAATGTACAAAATTCGATACAATTTCAACATTTTTTTGAAATATTTTGTATATATAAATTCAGATGATATTTATTATATTTCATATTTATTGATACAAAAACTTTACAATATGTAAAGTGTCAAAAATGAACTGGGACCCTTTTTCATGTATTGCAATGAACAAGATCATGATCAGAATCTGGAAACACCAATGATACAAGGAAATACTACACCAGGTGAAGATGATGTACAAAAGCAATTAGAAAAGGCAAGATCAAATCTAAGAAAAGTTACTGACCAATTGGAGAGAAGCCAGACACATATAAAGGAAACACAAAGAGAAAACATTGAACTCTATGAGAAGAAGAAATCAGGAAGCATTCAAGAAAGTAGAGGAAGAAGAAAGGAGACTTAAACAAGAAGAACTTGCAGAGGCAAAGAAAGAAGCTCAAATGCTCAGATCAGAACTTTGTGCCAGAGACAGTGAAATCAAGAAGATCATGAAGGAACTCGAAGAAGCAAAGGCTCACACAGACATAGGAAGCAAGAAGTTTGACTTTTGGATCTCTGATAAAGGACAAAAGATCATCGCAGAGCTCAAATATTACGAAAACCATCAGCAGAAAGTCTCATATTGGAAATAGAGAAAGATTGTTCGTGAACTCTACCCAGATGAACAAACGATGCAATTCGAAACACCAGATGAAGTCCTTTTAAGAAATTGCTTCACGAAGTTGATCCACACCTGGCAACACTCAAGAAAATACGGAAATGAAACCAGTGCCGGAATCATTTTGGAAGACTTTCAGAGAATAATTTCCAGCCAAATCTGGAGTGAAAAGTATGACATTGACCACATATTTCATTAAAAACTTCGACTAAAAACTTAATTTTATTAATTTTTACACTTTTTTCATCATGAATTTTCTTAAAAACTTAAACAAATATAAGCGAAAAATACACTGTCAAACCTTTATTAGGATTTCTTAGAAATGCTTGTTTCGCTATTCAAGTCAGACCAGCTGGCATTCCTGCTGTTAGAATTGATGATTATAATTTAGCTGCTGATGGAGGTGAAGAGTAAAAAAATAAATGTAGTTAATTTTTAATTTTCTGATTTTTTTATTTTTATAAAACGATGGAAAATAACTGGGAAACATTAGTAGCTGATGAAGATTATGAAATAAACACTGAATATCCATATCAAATAAGAAGGAAGAAAAACGGAAAGACTGTCAGTGTGTATGAAGAAAAGAATGGATATATAAGATTAACCCTTAACGGTAAAAAATATCTTAAACATAGATTAATAGCTATTCAGTGGATTGATAATCCTGATAGTTTTGGGGAAGTTGACCATTACGATAAAGTAAGAAATAATAATAAGATTGATAATTTACATTGGTGTTCAAGTTCTACAAATAATAGAAATAGAAGTAAAGCAAATGGAGTAGAATATAATTTCGTTGATGAAATCAGTGAAAATTCAATTACTGTTTCACATTACGGAAATCATGAATTTGAGGATTTAGTTTACGACATCGATGCAGATTTGTTTTATTATTATAACGGTCGTCAGTATAAAGAACTATACATTAATGAAAACATAAATGGTTCATTATATGTTAACGTTTATGATGTAATAAAAGAACGTGCATTACATATAGTAAATTCAAACGCTTACATAATTTAATATGAAAATTATTTTTGTCTTGAACGAAAAAATATATTATATCATAAATGACTTCAGAACTTTAACTTTCTTATGAAAGTATTTTTAGTCGTTATTGAAAAGTTAAACTTCTCTTCAAAACACGGGCTGATGATTTGCATAAATCAAATGCAATTTCCTGACTACTATGAAGGGCTTCATATAATTTCATAACTGAAAACTCACTATCTTTATCCTATTTTCCCTAAGGAATCATTAATCCTTTATCTTCATCATAAACGCATTTAACTGCTTCAGGAAACATTTCATTTGCTGTTAAAGCTATAACATCTTGTTTTACGCCTTTCATTCTGCAGTGAAATGCAACTTCATTTAAATCATTAGTGAGTAAGTCAATGTAAGTCTTCTTTCCACAAAATATCGACTTATAAGCTAAACTTTGTTTACCTTTTGTGATTTCTGCAAAGTCGGAATGGAACTGACCTAAATTCTTTCCAATAAGTTCGCGACCATATCTCTTCTTAAACTCTGCAGCGAGTTTTGGTATGTCTTCATTGTAAATGTGCATCGAATCTGTATCCTGATAAAATGCTTTTAATCCTAAGTCTTCAATCGTGCAAAATACTTCATTCATGATACGTTTCGACATAGATAAGATATTAACACCTAAGGGGCAAAAGTTAAAGTGTCTGCAAATGCTTTTAGTTAGTTTGAAAATAGTTTTATCCGAACCATCTAAACCTTCGAACTTAATAATATGATTATAATTTCTGATGGCATACCTAACAGCATCTTTATCATCAATGATTTTAATTTTCGACTCTATCGGGGACAAAATAGTTTTCCCATAAATACTGTTCAAAATTAATTTAATATTTTCTTGTAGCGGGTTTTCTTCCTTCTTATACTTTAATCTCAATTCAAACAATTTCTTTACTTCATCTCTTATTCTAAAATCTCTCTTTTCATCGTAGTAGTAACCCTGTAATACTTTGCAACTGATGCCCTGATATTTTATTAAATCTTGTAAAGTGATGTGGTCCACATACATTAAACAGCATGTGTTTGAACTTCTTGGAACAGTGGCTTTGTCCTTGGCTTTGTCCTTGGTGCTTTTCGCCTTTAGCTCCGGGTTTAATTCTGGATCGACTGTTATAAGTGGAAAATGTCTTTTAATCTTGATATCAGTTATTTTTATTAAAACAAAGAATCCTGAAATGAATTTATCACCTTCAGGCTCGCCCTGGTCATCTTTGAATAAATGTTTTAACAAATATTCACTGTTTAATATTTCTGGCTTCAAAACTTTCGGAATTCCTTCTAAAGTATAAAGTCTCGCGATAGCGGATGGATATAGTGAGACAGCATCGAAGTCAGCAATGAGTTTCTTTTCGCTCTTTTGTTTCTTATTATCAGCTAACATACATCTTCCACCTTGAATACAGCGTGAAATAAACTCACAAGGTTTATTTGATAGGTCATATAAATTTCCATTAGGGAAGTATACTCTGTTCTCAAATAATTTATTAGCAATTGAACAAATGCTAACGTAATCATAAACGTTTAAATCAAATTCTTTTAATATATCATTTCTGAACTTAACGAAACCTTCTCTTAAAATCCTTACGTCCTGTTTACAGTAAAATGAGCTATATTTTTCTAAATCGAAATGGTTTTCATCTATTCTGCAGTTTTCGATTAAATCTATGTTTTTCATGAACGTTTCAACATCCTGGACAAACTTACATGCTTCAGAAATGACACCAGTTCTGTTATCATTAGCTAATAAAGAACTTGAATAGTATTTGTATGGAATACTTCCTTAGGACCTGTTTGTAAATGAAACATTTCGGAAATTCTTAAGTTTTGTACTATAACAGTGTAAGAATCTTTTATAATGATTGCTTTACCTTTATATATTCCCGTTATCTGCATTGTTCTAGAACTCTTAATAATGGTGTTCCTTTAATTTCTGTTAAATGCCTTAAAATGAAATTGATATCATAACTGAGGTTATGAAAATATACTAAACTCTATCTGGAATTCTTTCTAAAAATTCTGTTGCACAATTTTGACCCCAAATGCTTTCACTCTCTCCATCTTCACTGTCATAACAAATGTTAAAGCTTTATGAACTCCATCAGTGCTGCATTCAAAGTCAGCGAAGAAAACGTGTTCATAAATGAATTTTGTTTTGATTCTGAGCTATCTTGCTTTCGGACTTTTTCTTTAACTGAACACAGTAGTTGGGAGTATAATTTAAATCTTTAAACGGTGCAAGTTTTTGTTTATATAAATCTGTTGTATAAGTGAAAAGTTCTCCATAAGATAAAGGTTCAAAGTAATTGCACTCTCTTAATGTTTTCAAAATTTCCCATAAAGCAGTTGTTCGTGAAGAATCAATGACAAATTTATTTTCTCTTCTCTTATATATTTTCATTTGACGCTGGATATTCCAGCCGCCTAATGATTTGAGAATTTCGTTATAATTTTTGATAAAATATGTTGTCATGGGTAATCTTTCATTTAACATGTAATGGTCTTCAACGAGTAATAAATCGATTGTTTTCTTTATTTCTGTGTGACCTTCGGTCTCGCCGCTTTGCGGCTTTGATGGTGTATAATGAACTGTCTTGTTATCTTTTGAATGATCGAAATAACCAATGGTAACATTAAATGCTATGCCTGTTGCGTTAGAAATTTTCTGAATCTTACTTTGTGGAAAATCTCTAACTCTAATGACTTCACGCATGTGGTCTACCGTCTGCTCATCAACTCCAGCCTGAATGCAAGCATAAACGAAGCAGTTATCTTCTGTCATCAATTTTGCAGTTATTTTGTTAAGTTCATTGAAAATTTGATAACGTTCAAGATTTATAGGTAATCTGCAAATATATTTCCAAAACTCACCGCTTCTCTTTTTATTCGTTCTCTTTTCATCAAGAATTTCATTCCAAAAATCATCTATATCCTGTTTATCACCTATTTCTTTAAGCCTGTTTAATAATCTTTGCTGACGTGCTGTTAATTTGCTTTCATCTCTTTTTTCTCTCTTCTGTGGCTTACCTTTCTTAATATCACTCATCGTTAATCCTTCATATTCAGTTAAATCATACATTTTAATTTCTTCGAGGTTCTTAATATTTGTCATAAAGAAATCATAATGTTTTTCAATTATTCCAGCTGCGTTTGCTTCAATCTCTGTTATAAAGTTTCCTTGCTTTAACTGATGAAGTAAAGCTCCGATGTTCTCGATGTTCAATGTTGAATTAGTAAATTTACCATCGAGTTTATAACAAATCATCCATTTTTGCTGCGAATTCACTTTTATCTTCTGCAGAAGCCTAATAAACATTTTTCCGAAACGTTCATGTAAATACTTTCTGTTATCTTCATTGAGTTCTTTAATGTTAAAATCTATGATTCTATTTCCTGCTTTAACATTTTTGCGTTTATTATTTTCATCCTTCTTTAACCATTTCTCACCATCAAGAGCTTTATCATCTATAGATTTAATTACTTCGTTTGCTTTGCGTAATTGTGCAATTGCTTTTGCATATTTTACAGCTATATTTTTCTTTTCTTCATCGCTTTTCTTCTTTCTCGTTTCACCTACATTAACATTAGTTATATCGTGCATTTCCTGCCTTACTTCTTTTGGTACCGCCTTACGTGTCTTTCCTACATCAACATTAGTTATATCATACATTTCTTTTCTTACTTCCTTCGGTACTGCTGTCCTTGTCCTTCCTACATCAACATTCATCATATCATGAATTTCCTGCCTAACTTCCTTCGGTACCGCTTGTTTATGATATAAATTAACCTGAACATCATTTAAAGGAAATGTTTTGTTATTAATGTAATCATTAATTTTCTCGTAACTGATTTCACCTCTGTAATCATTGAGGTATTTAGCTAATGAAGATTTGTTAGTCGCATATCTTTTGCTAACTTCAATGTCAGCATTCTTCAATAACTTCTTAATTTCTTCATGGTCTAATCTAGATAGCTTTTTATACATCTTTTATGGAAAATAAAAAAATATTTTCCGTAAAAAATATAATTTATTTTTTTAAGTTAATTTTTTAAAATAATTTATATTTTTAATTTTAATAAAATAATGTCTGAGTACAAGTTCTATTCATACAATGCTCTCGCTACTGCTGTCAAAAATGAGTTCAGTAACGCGATAAATGTGAACGTGATATTCAATAAAAAGTCTGTGAAAGGATTATATACATCGTTTGTTAAACCATATGCTATCATTATTGACAGAAAACGTTACACACCACATGAAATAGCAGTATTACTTAAACAGAAAGGAATATATGTAAATATTAAAGATTCTCATTATACGATTATGAAGAACTCTAACGTTGAATTTTTCAGCATTGTTTTAGATTTAACGCAGCAGAAAGAATTCAAGAAAGGAGAAAATGTCGTTAAATATTATCCTTCATCTCTGAAGATGATAACGAATAAAGATACACTCCATAAAATCCTACCAGTAATTGAGGAAGCAACGATTGAATTTGATGAAGAAGGTATGGAAAGCCGCAACGCGGAGCCCATAGTTGAGGAAAGTGACCCTGAGGAAAATGATTCTGAGGATTTATAAGAAAATTTATTTTTGTAAATAATTAGTTACGGTCAGTCAGTTAGTCAGTCAGTAAAATTTACACCAAAAATATATTTTAGTTGAGAAGGTTAGATATAACCCGATATCTACCCTCATTTCTACCCCTTGAACTTTTTATAACATTCGGTCATAACTTCATCAATTTCATTTAAATCACGATTTAAAAACTCATTGACTTCATCTTCAACTGTGTCATTTTGTAATAAGAATATTTTCTTTAGTTTCATGTCAACATCCCGAACAGCACAAAGGATAAAATCATATTCATTTCTTCCGTTAAACATACTTTTTCTTTCTCGTTCATCGTTAAATAAATTATTGAAAATATAAACAGTGGTGTAAAAGTTATGTACTGTGTTAAATGTTGAAGCTTCACCTATTTTAGATTTTAGGATTCTTTTAGTAAGTAAATTGTTATCGTTCTTTCTCTTTTCCTTATCGTTCATGCCGAATCTGTCGAACCACATATCCTGTATTTCATCGAATTTACGAACTATAGAATCCGTCATTTCCCTGGTTAATGAGGAGTAATCATTATTAATTTTTTCATATAATTTGTCCATATGATTTTCATCGACGTTCCCGGAAAACATTTAATTAAAGCAAAAATATATTTTAGTTGAAAAGGTTAGATCTAACCCGATATCTACCCTCATTTCTACCCCATTAATTTTACAAACGTTTAACGTGATATACGTTATGAATTCGTGAAATTTTAAATATTTTTCTAGCTTCTATTTCTTCAGTTAATATATCAAAAGTTTTAACGATACCGAAAGTTTCTTTATACTTCTTCTTGACATCAGATAAAAGGAAATCATCGGCTGTGGGATAGTTTTTATTCAGAAATTCTAACATGTTCATTTTATCTTCTACCGGCTTCTCTGCTGCTTTCTTTAAGTCTGCGTAATCGTTTCTCATTCTTTCTATCTCTTTTACTGAATAGTTATATTTCCTAATTGCTGCTTTACATTTCGAACACTGAGGATTCATTTTTGCGTTATATTCTGAAACCTTACCTGCTAAAATAACTAAAGCATCAATGGCTTTCTTTAAAGCTGAAGCAGTTGGTTTTATCTGTTCATGCCATACTTTACCTCTTCTGTCTTTATCTCTAATTTCCCATACACATTGAGCAGCTAATGAAACAAAACTATCGTATGTCTTAAATTCCTCAGATTTATAAATATCTGAAATGTTTTTATAAACCATGTCGCAGTCTTTATCCATAACTTTGTGGTTACAATGAAAACCTAAGAATTCAGAATTTACCTTACGAATGAATTTCTTAATTTCTGCTGAATCAGTAACTTTAACTAAAATTTCATCGAATTCAGGAACAGTCAGTTTCTGTTGCTGAACTTCCGGTAATTTAGGTAAATGGTCTATGATATCTTGCATTTCATATAGTTCCTCTCCATTTGTTTCATCTTTCGCGCTACAGTCTAAATTACTTGTTAAAAGTTCCTGCTTAATTTTTTGTATTTCTGTTTCAAAAGTAAATGAAGAAGGAATGAAGTTTTTCATTTCTACTATCATTGACGTGTAGGATTCAGTACTAATGAATTTGGTGCCGTGCATGCTGTCGAAAGTGCTGATGTTTCGATTTTTGTAATCATATTTATATAAAAATAAAAAAATAAAAATAAAATAAAAACTAACTTTATTTTTTATTTCGGGAAAAATTAAAAATAAAATTTTATTTTCTTTTACTCATAATATTTTTGTACATAACGACCCCCATACCTTTAACTTCTTTTCTGCTGCTTCCATTGCAATCTTAGCGAGTTCATATTCTTTATAATCTCTTATTAAATCAGCTTGTTCCAACTGGTCTAGTTCATACTCTTTCTGCGGTTCAGTAATTTGTCTAACTTCTTCTTCAAATAAAATTTCTGCATTTTCTGTTGTGTCTTCCAGTTTTTCATCTTCTAAAATTTCATGAGCTTTATTATCTATTGAATCCATAATATCTTTAACATAACATGCATACTCAACCGAGCACCATTCAGCAACAAAATGAACGAGGTCAGGATGTATGTAAATACCTTTGAATTCATTCATAACACCCTTTGTAAGCTCATAAAATGCTTGTTTTGCGGTCGAGCCACTTTCAGCTCCACCGTATTCGTTCATCCAAAACTCAAATATTACCTCCATCTTAATACTTTTGAGGAATCTGTTGAGATGATTTAACTTTCCAGCTTCTCTTGCCATCTTTGTTGCATTAATGTATCCATCCTTATCTCTACGTAAGACTTCTATACCATTGTAAGTTCCTTTTGTGAATGTTTCACCATTAGATTTATTCGTGAACGTTTGTGCTTTAAATGACATGTATTTATATTTATATAAAAAGTTAAAAATAAAATAAAACTAACTTTATTTTTTATTTCGGGAAAATTCATGAGAAAGCTAAAGCAATCAGAGCCGCAAAGCGGTTAGGGTAGAAATGAGGGTAGATATCGAGAAAAAAACATAGCACACATTTGCACACATTTTGACACTTTTTCTGACAAGCATCATTCAAATTTGAAGAAAAACCTCTAAATTTCATTCAAATTTCTGTCAAAATGTGTGCAAAATTGAAATAGGCACACATTTTGACATACGATTATTTATATACGTTATTTTAATGGTTTCAGAGAAATCTTCGTTACACATTATTGAAGATTACTCAATATTTAAGTGAATGACTCACTACCACCTGTTTAGAAAAATGGTAGCATAAAATCCAAATGTCACATATATTATTTCTTATTTCATACAAATAAACTTACAATTATAACCTCAACTTGTTTGCAAAGCAGAAACTCAATATAAGCAATCGATCAGTAGTGTATTTAAAAGTCGAATTTAAATTTAAAAATTTATAATCTTATTTCGGAACCAAATAGTATAAATTTAGGACAAAAAGCTACTGTTGATAACAACTATTAAAATTCAAATATTACTACCATGAACAATACAATGGCTCATATTGATAATTGATAAACGTGCATATAAATTGCATATATCATCAATGTCATTAAGTAAAATACATGTATATAAATAGATTAGAAATATTTTTCGGTTAGAATTAAAATCTATGTAATAAAAAATAAGTTATAAAAATAAATACCGAATTTTTATTTGTAATATAAACTGCTACAATATGCTAGTGTATACAAATGTATTTGTCGTATTGATTTGAAAGATCTTCAACATGGTTCAGATCTAAATTTGAAACTCGTAAAATAAAGCGAATCTTTATTTATAATATAAACTGCTACAATATGCTAGTGTGTACAAATGTATTTGTCGTATTGATTTGAAAGATCTTCAACATGGTTCAGATCTAAATTTGAAACTCGTAAAATAAAGCGAATCTTTATTTATAATATAAACTGCTACAATATGCTAGTGTGTACAAATGTGTTTGTACAAATGTATAACTCTTTGTCAACATATTTGAGCGTGATAACCATATCAAAAATGAATAACCTTAATTTATAAATCTGAATTTGATTTTAATAATAAATAATATATATATATATGTAATTCATGAGTTATATTTTTACACTTCATTTTACCTGAACAAATATAGCTGATATCAAATAACAATTTAATATAGAAATTGAAATTGTTATATATGCAATGTAAATACACATAATACATATATTATAATTTATCAATGATTATTGTCTAGACCAAAATTTGTAGATGGAATTATGCAATTTCTCAATTTAAAGTCCCAGCTGTTTGTATAACAACTTCATATTGAAATTTACTAATAAACACGGTAAGTTTCATAATTTTTATTATGATGATCTTACATTTGATTAAAATCGACGATTTTTCAATTGGAAAATAGTGCAAAGTAATAAAGAATATATTTAGCAAATTTTAAATTTTTTTCAAAAATTTTAGAATGAATCTTATAGAAGGACTAGCAAAGATTTAAAGGAAATTTGAATAAACTCATAGAATTTTTGAAAGAAGAAGGGAGATTTGAGAGGATTTTTGGTCAGAAAAATATAGAATTAAATGAATAATTGGGTATGATAAGATAAGTGAAGGTAAAAGATAATTTTAGTAAACGAAAACGTGTAAAGTTGAAGCAAGGTAATATTTTAATCATTTAAAAAAGAAAAAGAGGAAAACTTGTTCTTGAATCTTCTTGGTGAAAGACAAAATTCAATGAAACAATGTTGATTGATGTACATTGACACAGAAACATTGATTGTGTAATCAATCTATTGAAACTACAAAACTTTGTTCTTGAATCTTCTTGGTGAAAGACAAAATTCAATGAAACAATGTTGATTGATGTACATTGACACAGAAACATTGATTGTGTAATCAATCTATTGAAACTACAAAACTTTGTTCTTGAATCTTCTTGGTGAAAGACAAAATTCAATGAAACAATGTTGATTGATGTACATTGACACAGAAACATTGATTGTGTAATCAATCTATAAAAATTCATTAAACTATTTTAGCTTTCCTTTAATTAATTTTATTATTTTAATTATTTGATCATTAAGTCTCATTGTTTTACAACATTCCCATTCTCTCATTATCTTCGTTTAAATTAATATCTATTTTTAGATTTATTATTATATGAACTTTTGTTTAGGTTCTTTTAAAATAAGTTTCTTTGCGAGAATTAATTATTTTTTGTTTTCCTAAACTTACACATTTATAATGAACATTCAAGCTAAATCGACATTGTTTTGATAATTAAATATGCATTTAATGAAAATATTAATTGTCACTTTTTATATTTGTTAATGAAAATGATTTTTAAGTTATAAGGTGCCATAACAATTGACAAAGAGTTATACATTTGTACAAACACATTTGTACACACTAGCATATTGTAGCAGTTTATATTATAAATAAAGATTCGCTTTATTTTACGAGTTTCAAATTTAGATCTGAACCATGTTGAAGATCTTTCAAATCAATACGACAAATACATTTGTATACACTAGCATATTGTAGCAGTTTATATTACAAATAAAAATTCGGTATTTATTTTTATAACTTATTTTTTATTACATAGATTTTAATTCTAACCGAAAAATATTTCTAATCTATTTATATACATGTATTTTACTTAATGACATTGATGATATATGCAATTTATATGCACGTTTATCAATTATCAATATGAGCCATTGTATTGTTCATGGTAGTAATATTTGAATTTTAATAGTTGTTATCAACACCACGTAGCTTTTTGTCCTAAATTTATACTATTTGGTTCCGAAATAAGATTATAAATTTTTAAATTTAAATTCGACTTTTAAATACACTACTGATCGATTGCTTATATTGAGTTTCTGCTTTGCAAACAAGTTGAGGTTATAATTGTAAGTTTATTTGTATGAAATAAGAAATAATATATGTGACATTTGGATTTTATGCTACCATTTTTCTAAACAGGTGGTAGTGAGTCATTCACTTAAATATTGAGTAATCTTCAATAATGTGTAACGAAGATTTCTCTGAAACCATTAAAATAACGTATATAAATAATCGTATGTCAAAATGTGTGCCTATTTCAATTTTGCACACATTTTGACAGAAATTTGAATGAAATTTAGAGGTTTTTCTTCAAATTTGAATGATGCTTGTCAGAAAAAGTGTCAAAATGTGTGCAAATGTGTGCATTTTATCCATCTCGTAGATATCGTGTTAGATCTACCCTTTTCAACTAAAATTATTTTTGGCGTAAATTTCATTGACTAACTTACTGACTGACTGACTGACTGACGGCGCAAAGCGGCTTAACGAAAACATTAATATATAAAATTCATGAAAATTAATGGGGTAGAAATGAGGGTAGATATTGGGTTATATCTACCCTTTTCAACTAAAATATATTTTTGACGTAAATTTTCAACATTTATGAAAACATAAACGAAAACATTTATGAAAACATTAACGATAAAATATATTTCTGTATTTCATCCGCTACTTTATTACCTAATTAAATTCAGACATAAAATATATTTAGTTCATAAAAAAATTTTGATTAATTTTGGCTTATTTTTATCTTTCCAGTAATCCCTTTCGAGTTCCGATAAATGTGTAGGGTTCGATTCTCTCAAATTTCTAGAAGGAATTTTATCATCCACACCTCCTTCATAAATGACAGTGTATTCATCTTTGTCTTCATCATAACTCACAATTTTATTAACTATACCTCTTTTCGCTTCATCAACCGTTTTAGCTAATCTTCCATTTTCGCTTTCAACTAATCGAAATCGTGGATAAAATGCGACCGAATGGTCAGCTGCTTTAATTAAATAACCATTACCCTGTGAGGAATCAACGATATAATAATCATCACTTAACTGATTTCTTACCTTTTCATGTGGTTTATGTTCAAGAATGATTCTAACTTTAGTTCCTAGCAGTAATGATGAACTTCTTCTTTCCTCCGTTAACATTCGTTTTTGTTTTATGTATTCATCCTCCTCTTTTGAAGTCATTTCGTTTGGTTTAAATCCTGTGCTGTTATGAGTTGATTTATTATAAGCATTAATGACTTTATTCATTGATTCCTCCGTAAAATCTCTTTCTTTATTTAAATCTCTGAGCGTTCGAATGAAACGATTAATGATACCTAAAATATTATGGTTATGGTCTTCAGTCGTGTAATGAGTAACGTTATGTTTAATCAAAAATTCTGTAATTTCATTACTGAGGTATGCTGAATCCTGGTCTGAAGTTAATGAAGTGGGATGATGTTCTGCCACAAACGTCTGCAAAACTCTTAAAACTTCTTTTGTTCCTTTATTTTTCATTATATACGCAAAAGCTTTTCTAGTATTAACATTAATGAAAATCAAAAATGGTGGCTTTCTTCCTTTCTTACTCTGAACGAGTGTATCAAATTGATATGCATCATGGGTTTTAGAATAAATGGGAAGGTAGTAGTCGTATGGATTAACTTTAACCTGATGAACTATATTTTCATCATAAAATCTCTTAATTTCTGTTCTATCATTAAATCCCGCATTCTTTGCAGCTTCATAGAATTTTTAAATGACCTCCACGGTGATGATTCGAAAACTTCTTTTAAACTCATTTATGTAAAAATAAATTTCGCAAATTTCATGCTGTTCTAACCCATGCATAAACTGTAATATATGGTGGCATATAATCTGCACCCGAACCTGTTGTATTAGTTGTGAAAGTGTGTGAATGATTACCATTCCATGTTGTTTTGTACTGAACTACTTTTGATGTATATTCTGTTGGAGAATAAACATTATCGCTGTTATAATCTTTTTGCCATTGATTTAAGAATCTACCATCAATAGTATGTTGATGGTCTCCAGAATCACTTGTAGTTCCTGTGTGCTTATGTGGTGGAATGTTTGCTTCTAAAATTTTCTTTGAACCACCCGTTTGATTTGATGAATTAGCACAGTATAAGAATTTATCTACAATCTGCTTCCATGTACTAAAACCTAAAACACTTGCCGGATTTGTTGAATTCATTGATGTATATAATGAACCAACAGGATATATAGCTTGTAATATTTCATTCTTCATACTTGCAATTGCATTTGTTGCATTAGTTCTAAATTCATCGAAACCATCAAGAATATTAGTAAGATTATTATATTCCACATTCTTTTGACCCGGTAATTGATGGTGTAATTGAATGTCATTAACTGTTAATGAATCTATGTTCGAAAATCTTTCATTTATTTTACCATTAACTGCATCATTCATTTCCGACTTCTTCGCATAATTTTCATCTACCCATTCCTTTGCTTCTTCTGTATAACTCATTGCTTTTGTATCATAACGATTTAATTCTTCATCTACATATATTTTGTCGGTTTTATTGGCTAAATCAACAACCATATCTCTTAGGTTAGTGCACATATCTTCATCACGCATGCTTGATGAAGCAATAGCCCAATTCAATATTATCTCATCAGCTCTAATAGTAGTGAAAAATTCATGTGTATGTTCTTTATCTGCTTTCTTATCTAAAAGGGCTGGTAGTTCATATGTTTCAAAGTTTCTGACATGACCTTCGATATTCGTACATTTACTATCTAAACTGTTAAGCGTGTCTTTTACGCTAGTGCTTGGATTCTCTAAAGGTGCACTTGAACCAAGGTCAAAGTTCAGTATTATGTCGTCTGCTCTAACAGTTGTGAAGGATTCATGTGTATGGTTCTTGTCTGCTTTACTGTCTAATGAAGTTTGAAGTGAATTTATGTCGTTATGTTCTGTTATTAAATCATGCCTTAAGTTTACTATTTCTTGATTTAACTCAGGATGCATATGATTTACATCAGCTTTATTTTTAATCGCATCTTCAACAGTTATTTTGACTTAACCATCAAAGTAAATCTTGGTTCAACTAATACATCGTTAACAAAGAAGTATGAAGCATAAATTTCACCGTTATAATCAAATGCTTCTGGTGCTTTACCTGTTGTATCATAATTTATAACACATCTTATGTCATAACCTTCAGCACGAATGAATTTATATCTTCTTTCATTAACATCTTCCGTATTCACTTCTTCATCCTGTGTTAAATATCCATGATAATCCGTTATAATCTGTTCATCTGAACTTATATAATGAACATGGTCTTTATCTGCTTTACTATCTAATTTCTCATTAACATCATTCACTTCTAATTCAACTCTTCCGCCAGAACTCTTATTATCATTAATCTTTTTCATTAATTCAGTAATTACATCATAAAGACTATATTCTGTTTTCGGTTCTGTAAATAATGAGTCAAAATTTCTTTTCATCATTACATCGCTGACATTAATGATATCATCAATACCTTTTTCATTTATTCTCTTCATTAGTTCTGCAATAATGACGAATATATAATCTGTTAATTTATTCTCTTCATCAATGGTTATAGAATGATTTGAAATCGAATCATTAACACCTCTAAATAAATCAATAACTTCAGGATACACGTTTTTGATGTCTCGAATAACCTGACCCGTATCCTCTGGTTTCTCCTCTTCTTGGTTTATGTCTCTAGCCACCATCAACGCAGCCATAACCGGAGGGTTTGTTGCTACCTGTTCGAAAATCTGTCCGTTATGTACGGTATATCTAAATAATTTCTTTGTGTTTGTTAAAACATTTGAAACAAGTCTTTTAAAACCATCTACAAAATTTCCCGTTTCACCTAATGTTCTTGCAGCATCTACAAGCTCGCCCATTCCCGCTTTTGACCCCAAAAACGTCCATATTGCATTTATTTCACTCTGTATCGTTGTCCATTCAGCGAAACTAACACCCGCATTCGCTAAGTCGAAAATGAAACCCAGTGGATCGAACTTAATTCCGCCTTCTTTTTCAATTTCAACGAATTCACTAACATGAGATTTTAAATATTCTTTCGTTAAAATTGTTTTTCCTGATGTCATGCTATTAACGGAACTATCACCGTCAAAAGTTAACGAATTCAATTTCGTCATTGATGCTTTTATTTCATACACCGCTTTATCAATAGTTTTTGGCTCACCTTCTTTAGAAGTGTATGAAACATTAATGAATGAATTATATGTATTCATGAATGAGTTAAAATCAATGATTTTCATTAATGAAGCCTTTAATGATTCATTTACTGTTGAATCCCTTAATTCAATTACTGAACTGTCATCAATGAAAGGCACACTGCAAACCGTCGTGTTTGGATCAAATGCCGAAGTCGGCTGGGGAGTATTAATTATATAAGTCATTAAATCATTAAGTGATGCAAATAATGTTGTAATTCTTGATTTAATTTCTTTAGCATCTGTTATATACGGTAATTTTATTTCTGTAGTTTCTGAATTAAAGATATTCACTAAAATGTTTTGTAAACTGTTTTGAACAACTGTATAAACCGTTGAATTCGGAACCCTTACAATTTCACCATCCTTAATAAAGGGCATTGCACATGGCGTAGTGCTTGGATCAAATCTTTCGGGATTATAATTCAACATATATTCTAATGCTTCATAAACAGACCTATATACTGTTGTGTTATCTTTTTCAATAATTTCTCCGTCTTTTATAAAAGGCATTGTACATGGCGTTAATATTGGAATGAATTTTTCATATTCTTTCCACGAGATTAAATGTTCAGTTTTTCCGTCAGTTCTTATTAAATGCTCATCATTAAATGAAAACGTGTATGAACCAAAAATTAATCTTTTCGCCCTATCAGCTTCATAAGAATATGCGGATATACTCATATTTTTAATTATAATAAAAATGTTGTTCTATTTGCAAAGTACTGATCCTAATGATTACGGGACATTAAAATTACAAACTAACCTTGGTCTTCAGAATGAACCACTAGCTTTCAGAGTTCTTGATTTTAGCACTATCGCTTCATTTGTTATAACAGACGCTAACGATTTCATTACTTTTGAAATTGATGGTATTAGTACTGAAATTCATTTTAAAGCAAGAAATAAATATGATATTGATACGTTAGATGTTAATATTCAGGAAAGGATTGATGAAAAATTTAACGGAGCCGTTAACTGTGAATTAACTGATTCAGGAATAATAAAATTTAGTTCCGAAAAAGAATTTAAAATTACTGATATGACTCATCGAGCACGTTTATTATTAGGTGCTTATCATCAAGAATTACCATTAAAATCTTCTATTGAAAATCAAAAATATATAATTGAAATGAAATCTGCACCCTACATATGTTATGGAAACTGTTTATATGTTGAATCAAAAATAAGTAATGTAACAGGAATTTCAGGAGTTAATAATAAAAATTCTGTTATAGAATATAAATAGTTCTGTTACGCCGTTAATTCTGTATTCATGCCTAATTTTCCGATTTTATTAAGGCACGAAGGAAAATGGGTTCGAATTCAACCACACCATTTAAAAGATATGACATTTAGATTAGTTGATTTTCAAGGCGAACCAATTGAAATTAAAGCTCCTGTTCAATGACTATAGAAGTTGATTTTTGGTCTAATATAAGAGCTAATGGACTAGATGATGAACCAGGGATAAAAATATAAATTTAAATTAATTCGTTAAAACATATTTCAAGCAAAGTTTATATTCTGTTGAAAGTTTTGTGTATTCATTTGAATATTTATACTTAAACTCAACTCCTGTAGTTCCTGGTGTTTCGATTATTCTAATATTACCGATTTTCATAAATACCGGTCTGACCAACATTCGATTTCAGGGTCAGATAATCAATAACGCACTGTTTCCCTGTTATTCTTGATATAACATTTTCTAAATCCTCCTTTGTTAAAATTATTTGATTCTTACTAATAAGATTTGTCAAAAGCTTCTTATCGTCTTTGAGTAATATTGTTTGGTATAAATTAAGGAGGTAATGGTCTACGTTATCTGAAGTATTTGTTTGAATAGTTGAATAAGGATTATCTTGAGCATCACGCGATATGATTGGTTCTAATGGAGGTGGATATTCTAACTTAACTTCACTGTTAGCGTTTGTGTTTGAAGTTGTGTTTAAATTAACGGATTTTAGCTCCGGCTCTTTATCTTTCAAGTTTTCGGAGCTGTAATTTTTGATTATAATATTATTTGTCGTTCTTGAATCAACATTCGACGTCGGTTCAATAGGAACATTCACTGCACCGGCTAAGATGGATTTACTTCTCATTTTCTAGAGAATAAAAATTTTATTACTATAAAAATGAATAATATCTTTGATAAAGGTTTAAACGTGAAACTTGAAAATGAAAATCTTGTTGAATTCACTGAAACGGGCGCAGTTTATAAAGATGTTGAGGTGTTAAATAAGAAATCAAAAGGCAGAAGTCGAAATATGAACATCGATTATAAACCATTTACTATTTACGTTAATGATGGTTCTGGTGGTTCAAATTAAATATGCAGAAAGTAATAGAGTTTATGCGTTAAAAGGTGAAGCACCATCATTAAAAACAGTTATTCTAATCTTTATCCTCAAAAACTAACTGATCCAGAAAGTGTGGACATGAATGACACCAAAAATATAAACAGAAATGGTGATAGAGATGGATGGAATCTATTCACAACACCTCATCTAAAAATAAAGCTTTAAAATAATGTTGGTCTTTCCCAAGGTATATTTTTAACATTAATTGTATTAGTCATTATATGAATTTCTAAATATGAACGTGGTGAAATGAGTGATTTATAAGCATCCCAGATTTCATCAAAAGGTAATGTTATACCTGATTGCTTCCAAATTAATTCTATATCGTATTTTGAGAAACCTTGAAATATAACGAAATCAGTAATTAAACGTTTATGTTTAATGCTAAAAACCTCCACGTCATAAGTATTGCAACATGTGATAATGTCTGACTTTAGTAATTAAATTAGCTAATGGTGAATCTGGTTTTGAAACTAAACCTTTACCAGCGAAATCATCACAAACTAATAAAGTGTTTGAAGGATATTTTTTAAAAGGATATTTTGAAAGTTTTGAGAGAATGTAGTTTGTCAATCGTTTCATATCATACGTACCATCCTGCTGTCTCAAATGATGTTTATCAATAATTCTTTCCATTTCTTCCGAGTCTTTTGCATTCCTGATTGTATAAATTCAACTATTGCATAATATTTCTTCTTTTTCTTATATAACGTTGAAGAAAAGAAATTAATTCGCTATCTGGAATTTTAATTACTGATGCCTGAACTTTACCCATAAACGTCTTCGCTGTTGAATCCATTGAATCTGAAGTTGCTGATATAATGATTTGGTCATAATATGAATCTTGACCTAAACGTTCAGTAATTAAAATATGACGAATTAAATTAAAAGTCTTTCCCGAACCCATTTTTCCGCAATAGAAATACACACCGTTTGAACAGAACTGATAATCCTTACTGAAGGGAAGAATTAATGAACTATTGAGTTTATCAGATTTTTCATTCATTTTTTCATCTACTTCTTCAAATAAATGTTTCATTTTATTATAATTAAAAATGCAAGTCAGAAATTTTGTTAATACCGTTCCCAGTCTTAATGATAAAAGTATTAAAATCTATTATGAGCACATATTTTCACAACCGTTTAAAATATCAATGGTGAATACATTTATGAATACCCTAAACACTGGGTTGATTATAACACTGGCGAAAAAGCAATTGAAATAAGACAGATAAAAACCATTCCTGCAGGACGAACCATTGAATTATATAACTTTGGAATAATAAGAGATAATCATCAATATGATTTACAGATTTATATAGATTTAGACACAGGAGATGATATGACAGCATTTAATAAAAAGATTAAATCGGTTCTTATTGAACAGTTAAAAGGTGCCGGATATCCTCAACCTAATGAAGTTGATATGTTTTATAGTTTTGAAACTAATTCAATAGAATTTCGTGTTAATTCAAATTCAAAAGCTGGTTTCATATTTGATTTAAAAGATGGTGCTGTCGGTGATGAGATTGAAAATATATACACGAATAAAAATTTTCAAGAGATTACAGGAATTAATAATGATGAATGCTTTTATCGATTTGCTCAGTTCGGAGCAGAACAGATAACATTAAATGACCTCCTGGAGTACTTACCAAAATCAATTTCCATTAAAAATGATGATTATTTATTAACATCAATTTCATTTAATGGTGTTTGGTCCAGAGAAGCGGCAATCATTAAATCAAGTATAAGTGAATTCGCTGAAGATTCTATTTTATGTTTATCAAACTGTTTATATTCTCCGCCGAAGCATTATTCAATAACTAATTATGTTAATAAATTTAATATAAAATTAGTTGAACCATCGAGCCTAAAAGATATTGTCCTTCCTGATGACAGAAAAGATTATTATTATCGAACTCATATTAATCGCTTATTAAAATTTAATTATATATAAATGAGTTCAACGACTGAAAGCGCATGGGCTAGTTTTGATGAATCCTAAACCGCGGAATTATAATAATTGTAATTCCTGTAGGTCTTTTATTATGCTGGTGCTGTAGCGGGACCATATTTATATAGAAATTTATATAGAACACCGATTAATTCAACTGCCGGGGCTGATCTTATTCCAACAGGTCTGAAAAAATCTACACCGATTCAAACAAGCCCGACACAGGAAAGGAACCGCGAACCACTCACACGTATTAGGTCTTTTATTAATTATTTAAAGAATAGAAGAAATTAATTTGTAATAAATGACGTCGTTAAATGTAAAAATAATTTGTGATGATATTACTATCATTGATGATGTAAGTGAGTGTGCTAATATAATTGATAGAATTAATGAACTAATAAAGAGGTTCAGTGGTGAAAAAGTCAGAGTTTCATTAACGTTTAGCTCCGATGAAAAATTTTATGAGTTAATCATTATGAGAAATGATTTTAATAAGCATTAAATGGTATTTTCAACACTATCAGCTTTGTATGGAGGTTATAAAGCTATTGACGGTTTAACTGGTGGAGCTGTATCAAAAGCTTTAAAAAATAATGCTGGAATGCTTGTGGGAGCTGCTGCCAGAAAATTAAAATCTGAAAAGTTAAAGAAATTAGGTAACTGGGTTGCTGACCAGTCGCAAAACCTTTTAGGTGAAGATAATGAAATATCTAAGCAGCTTAAAGATTTTAAAGGTCAGTTGAATGGTGAAGAGTTTAAATTAAATTCACTTAAAGAAAAGGAGAAACAGCCAGAATATCCACCAATTGAGGCGCCGATTAATTCAGCACCTGCGCCATCACCAGCACCAGCGCCAGTAACTGCAGTCGCACCATATGACCCTGGCGGTTATGGAAGACCTTTTGACCCTAAAACAGGAGGTTCGAATTGGTTCCATTACGGTCGAAGATATATTTTAGCTAAAATCGCAAAAGCAAAGAAACTGTTAAAAACTAAAAAGAAACCAAGAGTTTTAAAGTAATTAAATGGTTAGAGATGTTCTCGAATACCCTGCACCACCTGAAACGCCTAACAATAATGATTTATATAATCGATTGAAAACTTTAGGTAAAGCGTATTTATGGTTTAATTATCCTTATCATATGGCGGCTTATAAACTTTATAAACACTATAAAGAAAGTAATAGACCTTCAACCGATCTAGTTGATCCGCAGGAATTAAGGAAAAGACGACGATAAAAAATAAAGTTAATTTTAAAAATATTTTTTATTTTTTACTTTTAATAAAATGAGTACTAAAATTACTGAAGCAACAAAACAAAAGTTTTTAGTTGAATACATTAAATCAGGAACTATTCCAGAAGG